CAACTTTACTCTACGCGATCGTGTTTGACCTCACGCGAACGCGATGCTCAGAACCTTTCCACTACGCGATCGCGAATGATACCACGCGACCGCGATTCACAACAATAAAAACATACGCGATCTCAGATCCATCTGCGCGAACGCGATGAACAACCTGGATGCCTTCCCTAAATAACTCTACGCGATCGCGAGCCCCCTCACGCGATCGCGAAGAGGAAAATACCTGCAACAGAACTGGAGCCAAACTTGCAATTTCCTGCTATCTTTTAAGGCACAAAGTGGTCCGATTGACCACCCGAAACACACCCGAGGCCCTCGGGACCTCAACCAAACATACCAACATAATCCATAACATCATCCAAACCTATTCCAATCATCAAAACACCTCAAACAACATCAAATTACCCAAAACTCATCGAATTCAAGTCTAAGTTTCCAAAAACTTCCGAAATACACTTTCGATCAAAAACCCGACCAAACGATCCCCGAATAACCTGAAATTTTGCACACACATCAAAATTGACATAACGAAGCTACAACAACTCTCGGAATTTCATTCTGACCCTCGGATCAAAATCTCACGTATCAACCGGAATTCGCCAAAATACTAACTTTGCCAATTCAAGCCAAATCCTTCCACGGACTTCCAAAATGCATTCCGATCGCGCTCCTAAGCCATAAATCACCTAACGGAGCTAGCTAAATCATAAAAATTCCAATCCGAACTCATATACAATTAAGTCAACTCTTGGTGAAACCTTTCAAATTCAAAGCTTTCAACTGAGACTGTTCTTCCAAATTCATTCCGATTTTTCTGAAAACCAAAAACCAATGGCCTACATCAGTCATAATACATTACACGGGGCAAGTCATGCCCGAGAACTGGCGATCAAAGCGCAAAAGGCTCAAAACGACCGGTCGAGTCGTTACAAACAAATACAAAGACAAAACCACAAAATTGAAGTTGAAGAGAAAGGATCGTTTTTTAATCAGATGTGTAGCAAAAATTATGGGTAAAATTGATTAAAATCGTACCTGGATGTAGAAGAAATTCGAGGAAGAGATTGAGAAGTTCAGAAGTTGAAATTTTTGCAACCTTAAGCATATTTTATTCAATTGGAGAAAACCTAGTATGCTCCTTTAGAGACGTGTGCTCCTGTAAAACATACACGTAGTGGTTGTGCAGAAACATTAAGACACATACACTATGTATTTGTAGAGTTGGTGTGAAATGACATAAACGCCCCCGAGCTTTTCCAAAAAAGACTCCTAAACACTCAGGTCGAAACCACATGCTCTTCTATAATATAGTATAGTAATAATATATATANGAGGAACATGCTGGACTACCTGCAAGACAGGTTACCAAGAATCTAGGGGCTTCTCTGCAATTAATAGAACATTGACGATAAGATATAGTATTAATGATCTAAAATACATTCATTAGTATGACTAGGGCTGTTCAAAATTGATCCATAATCAAGCAAGTGTGTGTAAAAATGTGTTACAAACTTGGTATACTTTTGATTTTAAAAAAAGAATCTGCTAAAACTTAGTATGCTTTCATCTCGAAATATCTATGCCAGTTTGGTGTAAGTAAATTGAGAAAGGGATATAGTTTAATTGTTTACACATTCTAATATTGTGCATATTCGTACTTATAAAAAATATTTTTGTGTAGATGTGTGTGTAACGTTCTAACTGCTTTTCAGCTACTGCTTTTCTATTCCTTTTTTTGGTTGCTCGTAATTAAGTAACCTTTGCTTTCAGGAGTTTCATAAACCAGCTCTTGGATAAACATGTATTTTTTAAGGCTAAAATCGGAAAAAAGTATTTGATGAAAAACGCAAAAACCTAAAAGAAAATAAACTCAAAATGAACCGAAAAAACTTACAATACCCATCAAAGGAGATAATTTTATTCATGGTCGTTGAACTTTTGTGTTTGTTACCCAAAAGTCACTTTTCTTTTTTTTGTTACGTAAAAATCATTCAACTTTGTGTTCGTTACACAAAAGTCACTTTTCTTTCTTTTGTTACACAAAAATCATTTTACTTTGCTCAAATATCACAAAAGTCATATTTTTACTTGAAAAGTCTATTATGCCCTTGATATTATATAAACCTTCATATTTATGTAATACCTTCTATATTATATACTATATAATATATTTTTAACTATGTATTTTATTTATAAATAAATATTATTTTATTTTTTATTTTTCTAATATATTCGTTAATTTAATTTTTTTCTTAACGTTAATTTTCAAAATATATTAGTAGCACTATTAAATTTTTCAGTAGCTTTAATATATATTAGTAGAGAAATAAATCGGCAAGTACATTTCCGTGAGAAAATTCGCAGGTAAACAAACAAAGAAAATAAGGAGAAAATCATATGTTAATCTGAAGGAATATTCCTAGGTACTACATGCGAATTTAGCTGGGGATTTGCCTGGGCAATTGGTTATTTGGAAAATTACATTACTAGAAATTCGGGAAAAACCATCCAAAAAAATCAATCAAAGTTGGTCGGTAATGTCCAATAATCGTCCAAAACGCGACCATTAACGTGTGGTCGGTATTTTGAAGGCCGTAAGGGCATACCGACCAAAGTTGGTCGTAAATTACCGACCAACTTTGGTTGGTCAATAAATTCAAAAAAAAGAATTGCTGAAAAAAAGTTGCTTTATAACGCTACTAATATATCTTGAAAATTAAAGTTAAGAAAAAAATTAAATATACAAATATATTATAAAAATAATAAATAAAATAATATTAATTTATTTTATTTATAAATAAAATACATAGTTAAAAATATATTATATAGTATATAATATAGAAGGCATTACATAAATATGAAGGTTTATATAATATCAAGGGCATAATAGACTTTTCAAGTAAAAATGTGACTTTTGTGATAACCAGAGCAAAGTAAAATGATTTTTGTGTAACAAAAGAAAGAAAAGTGACTTTTGTGTAATGAACACAAAGTTGAATGATTTTTACGTAACAAAAAAAAAAGTGACTTTTGGATAACAAACACAAAAGTTCAATGACCGTGGATAAAATTATCTCCCAATCAAAGTCGAACTAATTTTTCTAATTTTATATTTACCTTGAAATATCTTTTACTTAGCAAAAATAAAAATACAACTAAGTCGAACTGTGAACAGCAGTATACCACAATTAACTCTACTAGAGTTGAGAACGGAGTTATAAACTAATAATCTTGTATTATATAGCTAAAAGTTATAAACTAATAATCTTGTATTATATAGCTAAACCATTTAAATCACATATTAATTTTTTTCGTTTTACATGTGCAAGATTTAATTATTTTCTTCTACTCTATCTCAAATTTCCTCACCATAAAAAATAATATTACCTCTATGTCACTTTTTGTAGCACTATTATACTATTTAGAAAGTTAAAAAGTTCTTTAATCATTATTCTCTTAAATATATTTTAAATATTAGATTATTAATATTGTGACTTGTAATTTTAATGTAGTATGTAAATTTTATTTAAAAAATCAAGCATATAAAGATTTAAGTAGTTTAACTCTCGTACTACAAACTTCATCACTTAGAGGGTATTTGGCTAAGCTTATAAGCTGGTCAAACTAGCTTATAAACACTTTTTGGCTTATCTACGTGTTTGGTAAAATTAAAAGTGCTTATAAGTTAAGTACTTATAAGCCAAAAATAAGCCAAAAGCCATAAGTTGGTCTCCCCCAGCTTATCAAATTTCAGCTTATAAGCACTTTAGGTTTGACCAAAATATTTACTATTCTATCCCTAAAATAGTTCTTTTTAAAACAAAACTCTTCGTATACCCAGTTCTTCAGCTGCTTATTATTAATTTCAACACTTTTATCCAAACACGTAACTGCTTAATTTTTAAATCAGCTTCAGCACTTAAAAGTGCTTTCAGCACCTAATGCTTATCAGCTACTCTAAATCAGTTAAGCCAAATTATTAATCGTAGAGAAAATGGAATTTCCACAATAAACGCAAATCCCTCTGATATCATTTGAGAATACAAACTCTTGTTGCACCCCAAAAATAAATTTTTGTTAGAATCATTAGTAGAAATAAGAAAATGATTCTGTTGGCTCCCTTTTTCAGTAGATGAGATTAGGATTAAAGGTATTATCTAAACGCTTCTTTTCTCTGGCTTGCTCTTTCAAATAAAATTTTGGGCTCTTAAAATATAAGACTAGGGGAGGATGAGCTACTAAAAAACAAGTTCAAATAGATACAAAAAATGGCAGGTGATTTCTTCTATGTACAAATTTTGTTGGGTAGATTCCATATGCCTATAACTTAACGGACATAATTATAACTTAACTTGTGTTGATAGGGGATAGCCAGTATTCAGTAAATGATCGAAGTGTGTGCAAATTACAACGAACATCAAACTAAGCGGTGCATGCAAATTGCGTGAAACACCAACAAAATTATCTAACACTCATACTAGTAAAAACTAATAAGCACTTTGTTCCAATATATGTGAATTTATTGGACTGGCATAGAGTATGAAAGAAATGAAGATTTTTAAGACTTGTTATGTTAAACAAGCGATAATATTTTTAGGGTTTTTAATTCCTTAAAACTTATGGGATTAAACATGCCAAAGTTATAAAAGCTTCTCATTGAGAATATAATTGAAAGTTTAAGTAAAATTATTTTTATTTTTAAAAAGAGTTCATTCTTTCTGAAAAGAATTGAAAAAAAATTACATTCATATAAATTGAAACAAAAAATTAACTGATAAGATAATTATGATACATGCAAATTAATTTAAATATTTAAAAAATAAAAAAATTCAAATAAATAATTGAGATACTCACAAATTAACCTCGAAACCATGTTTAAAAAAATAAAAAGAAAGAGAGGAAAGGGAGACAAAAAAAAGAGCCCGTCGATGAAGAGGGTGGAAAGAGAGAAAGAGTCAATGATTGGGTCCCATCAATCCCAACAAAAAGGAAGTATACTGCTCAACAGAGTATCTATCTTCTTCAGGAGTGAAGACTAGCAAAAACAGAGTATAAATAGGTAAACCCGGGAACGACCCGCAACCCGAGAAATCCTCTCCTTAGTTTGAAAATTAGAAGCACAAGAATAAGAAGAATTACAGAAACTCAAACATAATTCCCTCCTTAAACCCTAGATTTTAATCTAAAAACTATATATATATATAAAAAAAAATTGACATCACTTTATTCATAGTTATGGCTCTAGAGGAATCGGCAACTGTCATAGATTCCCTCCCTGATTCCTTCAATTCATCGGCGGCTACGACTTCATCCTCATCTCTCTATCTCGACCGTCCATTCGATCAAACCGCCTCTTCTTCACCGTCCGATCCACCGCCTGCTCTTTCCAGGAATTCTTCACTCAATGCGCTTGCTCCGGCATTCGTTCCACGAACTTCATCGTCTCCGTCGTTGCCATCGTCGCCGTCGATTTCTCCGTCGACGTCGCTGGCCGATTTGAATCAGGCCGGTAAAACGCTAGTCCACGTGTACGCTACTCCTGCTGCTAATTTCCATCCGGTTCAGAACCATTTTGTTTATGCTCCTCAATTTCCGGTTCAGTATCCGTCGCCGTTTTATGGTGGTGTTGTGGACGGAGTTGCACAAGAGATGGTTGTTGGTGCTGATTTGGATCATGCTAGTAAAAATGGAGGGTTAACTGAAGAAGCTGTTCAAAAGATTATTAATCAAGTAAGCAGAAAATTTTCTGTATCACCTTACACTAATTGTTTTTTAATTACTCTAGATGATTAATCTCTAGTTTTAGAGAACGCTAGATTTGATCTAAAAGATGAATTATTGAGTATTGAAATGAAACTGCCCTAAGCGCATCTCCCAAGGGTGCACCATTTTTGGTGTTTTTTTTGCTCCAATAGAACACCAAATCTTGCACCATTATAGGACATGAATAGTGTTGCACATCACACCAAATTTGATTTATTATTATTTTATTCTTCTTTTTATTTTTTTGGACTTTTAGTTTATCATATATTGTGTATATAATTAATTTTTATATTAAGATCTTTATAATTTTAATTTTATATCCTATTTTTTTGATATATTAATTTTTGTTTATATATTATATTTAAATAAAATTATAAGTTAATTTTATTATTATTATTATAATTGTATAAAAAGAAATATAACCATTATTTAAAAATAAAAAATGCAAATGTAAGATATCTAATGTTACTAAAATTGAAAAGTGAAAACTAAAATTTAAAAAAGAAAATTAACAATACATAAAATAAAAATACATTATAATTAAAGTACATCAAAGGAGGATACATTAAAATTGAAATTACATTAAAAAACATAAAGCATAGGTTTAGTAATCCCCTNTCGATAAAACGCTGGCGTATTTTTCTATTGTACCACGTAGTGAAAACTAGGCTATACCATGATATTTAACCTAAACTTAGGTGCAACACTATTCATCAACACCAAATTTGTATTTATTATTCATTTTATTCTATTCTTTTAGTTTTTTTTTTGGTACTTTTAATTTATCATATATTGTGTATATAATTAATTTTATATTAAGATCTTTATAATTTTAATTTTATATCCTTTTTTGATATATTAATTTTTGTATATATGATGTAATATTTATTTAATTATCTTTTATCAATGATTTCACTTTTAGTTGATTTATCCTTTAAAATAATTTTCTAATAAATGATTATATAAGTGATGAATGTGAATTATATATGATGAATATGGAAAAAAGAAAAAAGATAGAATTTGTTTGAAGGAAATAAAAATAAAAATAAATAGAAGATAATAATATAATATAGAAGAGAGAGAAGAAATATTCTTTTTTGGTGTAAAAAATGGTGTAATGGTTGGAGTAAATTTGGTATTACACCATTTTGGTGTGAAATTTGGTGTTAGGGTTGGAGATGGTCTAAAGAACAGAATGTATCTGGAGAATTAACCAACTAGTTTAGGATTGAGACGCAGTAGTAGTATTAGTAGAAGGAATTCGTTTATTATTGTTTATAATTCGTTTGTTTCCTTAGAATTTTCTCTTCTATGCAAATGGTAAATTAGTAGCTCTCAGTATATAACAAGCTGACTTAAACTACAGAACTGTTTTGAAGATCTAAAATTGTGCTGCAAGATTTTCAAAATTTTTTGAAGTGCTTGTGAAATTGTATAAGATTCACGAGGGAGGGAACTGCTATGCTATTTCTTTATTCTTCTAATTCAGAATACTCACATTGTCTGTAGGTGGAGTTCTACTTCAGTGATTTAAATTTGGCAACAACTGATCATCTAATAAAGCATATGCTCAAGGATCCCGAAGGATATGGTAAGTTGTCCTTTAGCCTTTACTTTGTGTAATAAATGAGGTGGTGGTGGGGTTTTCCTTAGCATTTATGCTTTTGAGTCTCTTCCTGTTGGTTCTTGTTTTTAGAGATATTTTTAAGTTTTTGTTTCTGATGATTGTTCTTAAGTCTGCCTGGACTTCTTTTCTTTGCTATAGTACCAATATCCGTGGTTGCATTGTTCAAGAAGATTAAAGCTCTTGTAGATAGTCATACACAGCTTGCTCAAGTTTTGCGGAGCTCTACAAAGCTTGTGAGTTTTTCCTCTTACCTTCTCACCCCCCCTTTCTAACCTAAAATAATCTACTGTCTATGTTAATAATTTTTCTTCTGAGAATCATGTGATTCCACCATGTATGTTTCAGCAATAATTGCTCTCTGACACGTTTTCTCTTACTTATTTTATTCACTTAATGTATTTACTTATTTATTTGATTTTTGTCCTTGTAGGTAGTTAGTGACGATGGCATGAAGGTCAAACGCAAAATTCCTTTGACTGAAACCGACTTGAAAGAGTTGCAAGTAGGTCTTTTTTTTTTTGCTAGCTGTCTAGTTTAGAACAAAAAACGTTTGATGAAACATTTATTTCCACCTAATAGTTCATATCAGATTTTTATCAGTAGTTTGTTGTTTTTCTGTTGTTTATTTTTCATTTTGATATTCCTCATTCTGCACCTTTAGTCCCGAATAGTGATTGCTGAAAATTTGCCCGAGGACCACTGCCACCAAAAGCTCATGAAGATTTTCTCAACTGTTGGAAGGTAGAATTTTTCTTACAGTCTATATACAGATGTCCAAAAGATCTGCTTAATAGAAAATATCAACAGCTTTTTAAGACTTTTGCTTAATACATCAGTGTGAAGATGATTCGCACCTGCCAACCTCAGTATTCCAGTGGTGGGGCTTCTTCAGGATCTAGAACAGCAAAATCAGATATTATGATGTATAGCAACAAGGTAAGCATCAGATGGTATGATTTCTGCGATATTTGTAGTTTATGCATGAGTGTGAAATCTTGAAGTTGATGCCTTCCCCAACTACAACCAGAATTAAAATAAGAAATGATGAATATCATGTTCGAGTTGTTGATATTCTGTTTTGGAAATAAAGCTCGACCATACTACCATATTCTGCTATCATAGGATGAACAAAGACCGGAAAAAATTGATACTGCAACAGAGTTCTGTAGCCTTGCACATATAGCGTTGTCTATATTTATACTTGGTATAACGTTGTTCCTTCTAGTATCTGAATTGGATATCTGAATGCAGTTACACGCTTTTGTGGAATACGAATCCATCAAATTGGCTGAGACGGCGGTGAGTTAATATAATGTTGTTTCCAGCAAAACACGGATATCTCTGTCTTTGCCATCCTTTATTTTCGTTTTTTGATCTTATATTGCAGGTTGCAGAATTAAATGATGAGGATAACTGGAGAAATGGTCTAAAAGTCCGGTTACTTCTTAGACACACGGTGAGTCTTGAACAGTATTTCCCTGTGTACACTTGAAACCACACGATTTAAGCAGTGATAATTCTGTTTGTTAGTGAAAGAAGAATGAATGTTGAGAACTGATGATTAATGTTACTGACATAATTTAGATGCCCAGACTACACACTTATAGTCCATATTTGTTCGGAGTACTTCTGATGCAGTTATAGTGATTGATTTTTCAGTTGATACATATAAGATAACTCTAGGGCTTGATTGTTTCTGAAGGAAGGGGAAGAAATGGATGACTAGGAAAACATTTAATTTTTAACTCAGATCTTATTATGTCATTCATTATTTCCGTTTAATCCCTTTCCTTTCCGTTCAGAAGCAGTCTGTGCTGAAGAATTTCTTGACTATGATGTGTTGGTTAAATGGAGATGGTTGGATCTCCCTTGACAGGGACAGGAACAGCTTTCGGGCTTTACCTGTTACCAGATTTTATTGATCTTACCCAAATTTGTACTTATTAGACTTGCTAGAGAACTTCTAATATCATTATTATTACTATTATTTATATATAATATATATTTATGTTATTTTTACTTTTACTTCTATATTATTTTGGTATGAGAGGATATGAGTTGAGCTTAAAGAAGTGTGGATTCATATTTGGGACTTAGGCGTAATTGTTGTTTGTGCCACTTGTCATCCAAGTTCAAATTAACCCTTTTTGCCTCAGCATAAAGTTTGTCGAATGTATTTGATCTCATATTTAATAATATCATGTATGTATGGATTTTGGTTGAACACACAGGAAAAATGTGGCCAAGCTCGAGGGAAAAAAGTTGGTCATGAAAGTGAACAGAACTTCAAGGAAGATGATGGTTTTGCATTAGAGGTCAATGAAAAGCTTAATGAAGAGTCATCACACCATCTTGATGCTCGGTCCAATGAGCTTGCAGTAAGTGAATCTGCATTTATTCCTAGAATGTGGTAACATGTCTAGATAGTATTTTAGTAACTGCACCACATAATCCTGCAGAGACTGGTTTTGAATAAGATTGTAGTGTAGTCTGTGTTTTATATTTGTGGTTTCCTCATCTTTGTTTTACATTGGCAGGAGGAGCATGACAGTGATGGGATGAGGAAAAGGTGTGGTCATGCTCGGGGTAAGGGACAAGGACAGGGTCAGGGACGTGGACATGGACGTCCCCAGTTTCATCAAAACAACTGTGGAGGTCATTTAGGGGCTCCCATGTCAAACATCAATCGTGGAAGTAGTGCGGGAAATGCCCCCTCAAATGTCAATCGTGTTGGTCTAGGGCAGCCTGTTTTTGATCAGTCAGTAGCAGCCAAGCAATCTTCTGTACCTCGTATGTCGGATGGCACTAAGGGATTCTCCATGGGTCGAGGTAAACCAATGGCTATCAAAACTACATGATGACTTCTTACTTTCCTGAGATTGTCATGCGAGAATTTCCACGTGGAGAAGGTGGGGATTTTTTTCTCCTTTTGCAGGTATTAGAAATGCTGTCAATCCAGTGGAGCTGGTATGATAACATTTGGCCGTTTAAGTAAGAGTTTCATTTATTATGTGTTCACTGAATCAAATGAACCTTGAAAGAAAGCTGCATTTTTGTTGTTATTTCTCTTCGAGTTCCTTGGTTGTAAAAATAAAACAGTACAGAGGCAGCTACATAGAAATAGTAAAGAATTTTTCAACTCTCTTTCGCTCCACTTTCAACCGCATGTGTGAAGTCTGTGTGGACACTGGACATTAGTCAATCAGGCAATATGATGCTGAAATGCATAAACCCCAGCATAAAAAAAGTGCTGAATATCCTTGCAAGGTCTATGAACAAAGTCAATTGGAATTGCATAGCTTTAGGCCTGTGTAAACCAAAAGAGGCATATTGCAGCATAGGACTGGTTGTGCTACTTGCCAAGTTAAAATCTGTGGCGTGATCACCTTACTTTTTGAGAAAGAAATACTGATTCAAGTATCCAAATCCAAAAGGTAAAAGAATGATAAATAGTGGTTTTGAAATTATCTTAGGACTCTAGATGGGAACTGTTGATAAATATAGGCTTAAAAATGCATATCCTCGATCACTCTTTTGTACACTTGATCATCTTTGGCTCGTGGCAATAACAGAAGGGTTTATTGTACTTTTGTTGTATTTTTCAGGGGTCGTGGTTTTTTGCTCTGCTCGTCTGAATGTGCGCACAATTTGCTGGTTTTTAACAGTAGGGATATCTTCCTAATAAAAGGGCAGTCCGGTGCACTAAGCTCCCACTATGCGCGGGGTACGCGGAAGGGCCAGACTACAAGGGTCTATTGTACGCAGCCTCACCTTGCATTTCCACAAGAAGTTGTTTCCACAGCTTGAACCCGTGATCTCCTGATCACATGACAGCAACTTTACCAGTTATGCCAAGGCTCCCCTCCTAGGGATATCTTCCTAATGCGTTACTTAATTTTAGGGGTCGTGTAGATGTGTTAACTTTTCCATAAAACTTAATTGAACAAGTTTTTTTTTCTTTTTTTGGAAAATTTAATGGCAGAATAGCCTGACAGACACCTCTACGTATTAGGCTTTGGCATCCTGGTCCCCCTATTCCACATAGTTTCAACCAGGCACTTCAACTTGTATAAAATATTAGTTTTAAACCCCTCTAACCATTGACCAAACTTATGCGGCCTTTATTTTGCTGAGTCAACCAAAATAAGTGATTGCACGCTCCTAAAGTAACTATACAAAATTTGATTAGAAAATAACAAAAGAGAAAAATGAAAAGGAAAAAAAAAAGAAGACAATGCTAGCCATTATCTCGCCCCTCTCTATCCCATCCTCTTCTTCTTACCCCCAAATTCCTAAAAAGCGCCATTGAAATTGGCATGGCTCCACACCCTCTAATATCTAATTTTGTTTCTCAAGCAGTCAAACACCATTTCATAATTTCTCCTTCAATTTTAGCAATCAACTGGAGCTATGATAAAAGATTAGTAGTATACCACATGACAAGACTAAATTGATAGAACTTAGCAGAGCAACTAGTCAAGGAACAAAGTTGTTCAATTTTTGTTTTTCTCATAATAACGGAAGAGACGATGAAGACATCGGAGAATAAAGAGACGCTGAAGCTTGAAAATAGCGTTCCAAGCCAAAAATTGGGTCGTCATCGACTGCTGACGACGACGAATCATGATTTTGCTAGTTTATAAATTTTGCCGCCTATAGCTGGAGGGATCAATAAGGATTTTGAGGTAGGAAATACTGAGTGAAACACTCTTCTCTTTCTTTTTCAATTTTTTGGTTTTGCTTCTTGTGTGTTTGGCTTGAAAGAAAATTTAAGGATACTTTTTTTTTTTTTAAAATTCGTTTGTTGTCTAGATTTTGAAAGGGTGACATGAATGTGAAGAGAAGAGGAGAGATTGTGGTGGTTTTGGGAGGGTTGCCGGTGATGGAGGCAGCGGGAATATACCAGGGTTGGTTGAATGAATTGTAGTAATGGAGAAACATTAGGACCAAAAAATAAAGATGAAGTAGTTTTGATCGAGTATTTTCAAATGGAAGAGGAAGGGTGGCGGTTTGTATTAGTCGCGCTGCCGGGTGGAAGAGGCAGAGATGGAATGGCGGAGAGGAGGAAGGTTTGGGCTTTTTTTGGAGAAGAAAGGGATAGGTTCGATATTTTTATTAAAAAATATTTTATGTAAAAATAAATAATGACGTGGTATTAATTTATCTGAGGTGGATCTGATGTGTCCTTTATATCAGCACGAGTGAACAACACATGGTATCAGAGGGGTTTAAAACTAATATTTTATACAAGTTCACGTGCCTAGTTAAAACTATATGGAGTAGGGGACCGGGATGTCAAAGTTGAATAAGTAGAGGTGTATGTTAGGCTATTCTGCCAAAATTTTATACCACTCGATCATTTTATATACTAATAGTGTTTGATAGTCACTGAACTTGACAAGGGCAGGTTGCAGTAGAGTTTTGATCTCAGTAAATCAAATAGGTTGTGGTAGAATTACGAACTCAAACCCATAAATTTCAAATTATGAATCTGTCCTGACAAGAAGAGTCATGTCTTCATGATACTCTATGTGATTTTCTTCTACTATGCTTGCTCTGGATGAAGCAGACATGCTATCTCTTTCATTGTACAAGATAGTTTAATCTAGTAACTGGCTGGTAGGATGCAAAGTGAAAGTGGATATGTAAACATCAAATGGCAAGGAGACAGATGAAGCTAAGAGATTATTTTTCTTCTACTATAAGGGGTGTGGTGGGGTGGTAGACAAAAAACTATTGATATAACGATTTCATATGCTTGCCGTTGGGTGACCATCATTCCCATCCATAAGTATCATATTCTATAAAGTGTCTCTCTAGTATTAGGATAACTTCGAATCCCTTAACTCGTATTGTAGGAAGCTTACTTAACTTATTTCCTTTAAGTCACTTTTCAGGAGGAAAAACATCAAATAAAGAGCTCCATCACCTTATTTAACAGCGGACTTGTGTAAAAAATAATATAAATATTAGATCTACATTTATAAACCAAAAGAAACAATATAAAGGAAAATATACCTTAAGTTATACAATAATCAAAAAGTATATCACCTATTATGGTCTTCCGTTATAGTTACCAATTGATGTAGTAATTCTTCAATCATAATGCAAAATGGAAAATCAACATGTACATTACCATCTAGTCATTAACAAAATAAAAGTATTTGCTTGTAAGATGTAAGCCTTTCAATATATAATCTTTACTAACTCACTCAATTTCTTGTAACATTTGATAGATTGTGTAAACATGGCTGAGTAGAGAGCAATAGGAACCAAGAGCTTTATATATTTTTAAAATTAACTTCCTTTAAGCATGTTGTTATAAAGGAAGAACAAAAGAAGTATGTTGCTCTGATATCACATATAAAAAAAATGTAGATCTTTCATAAATTTTGTCATTTAATATATTTATATGTTTTTAATAATTTGATTGGCATAAGCAATTAAAAATAATTTTTTTCCTTTATTGAATTAAAACAATCCTATGGTGAAAAAACATTAGCAAAATATGGCCTTTCATGGCCAGATAATATATTTATACATATCCCATATACATATGTTTAAACTTCAAGATAATTAATGTACATACAATATCTTTAATTTAATAATGGAACAATGACTAAAGCCATGCAGCTTAGTACATCCATTCAATATTACAAAGTACATTCATACATAAAATATAAACAATTCTTTATATACATGAATTGTGTATGTATTAATTGAATTATGTTGACCAAATTCAGGTAACCTTTCAGATACATCCATATACATTCTCGATAAATCTATTAAGTATATGAATACCTATCCATATAATAAGTACACACATTTAGAAAATAAAATAAAATTATGAATATGTATTATGAATTAGTAGTCAATTCTAGGCATTATCATGGCCTAAGCACAACCCGAACATGAATAATTATCCCGATATTAGCACATGGGTTCAAACCCCACACATGTGCGGACCCATAGCACACAACTATCACAAATAATTCAGGAAACTAGTGCCTCAACCAAGTTTAGATAAGATATTAACCTCAAGCAAGCCAAGTTACTCCTCTAACAAACCTTTCCCGCGTGTATCAACCTCCGGAAGGCTCGAATCTAGCCAAAATAACGTAATACTATCAATAAAAGCCATATGAAGTGATTCCAAAAGATAAAGCTAAGGTCTTTAACTCAAATAAAAAAGTCAACCCAAAATGTCAACTTCGGGCTCGCACCTCGGAACCCGACAAAATTAAAAAATTCCAAACACCCATTAAATTACAAGTCCAACCATACCAAAATTATCCAATTCTAACCCTAAATCGACCCTCAAATCCTCAAATTTTACTCTCCAAAACATAGTCCAAAAAATTACAAATTATAACTTAGATTCATGAAAATTATGTTTAATAATTAATGGGTATTCAATATTTACGAACGAAAGTGATTAAAAGTCACTTACCTCTTCAATCTAAGTGGAAATCTCTCCCAATATCGCCCTATCCCGAACTTCAAAATCCCAAAAATGAGAAAAACAACTAAACCGTTCGATTTAAACACTGCCCAGCGATCTCACTTCTGCGGAAAATAACACGCATCTGCGGACTCGTAGATGCAGTGTATTCGTCGCACCTGCGACCCACCAGCAACTTAGGCAAGCACGCACCTGCGATCCCAGGGTCGCTTCTGCGCCGTCGCACCTGTGGAATATCCCTCGCAGGTGCGATTGCACCAGAACTGAAGCTTCAGCATTTTCCCTTAGTCAAATCCTCAATCCAATTTCAATCCGAATAACCCCCGAGGCCCCCAGGACCCCATCCAAACATAGCAACACGTACCATAACATAATACGAACTTAGTTGAAGCCCCAAATCACATCAAACTACACCAAAATCGTGAATCACACTCCAATTCAAGTCTAATAAAACTAATGATTCCAACTTCTAAAACTAATGCCGAATCATATCAAACCAACTCCGACTGACCTCAAATTTGCATACAAGTCATAAATGACACAACGGACCTATTCCAACTCTCAGAATCGAAATTCAAACCCGATATCAATAAATCCAACTCTCGATCAAACTTCCCCACCTTCCAAACCTTCAACTTTCCAACTTTCGCCAATTCAATCCAATACGACCTACGAACCCCTAAATCAGTATCCGGACATACTCCGAAGTCCAAAATCACCATACAGAGCTATCATAACCATCAAAACTCTACTCCGGAGTCGTCCACACAAAATCAAACTCCGATAAACTCTTTCAACTTGAGCTTCTAACCTTGGGACTAAGTGTTCCAATTCACTCTGAAGCCTCCCTGAAACTAATTCAATCACCCCATCAAGTCACATAACGACAAGTGGACATAGATAAGCAATAAATAGGAGAACATGGCTACGATACACAAAAAGATCGATCGGATCGTTACAGACAACCCCTTATTAATCATGTTTAGAGGGTATTTATAGGTTGGGGTCGGAGTCTTTAAGTACAAAACTAAGTAAGAAACGTTTAACACACAGAATCGGAAAGGGACCAGGTCTTAGAGCTCGCGAGACCTGGCTTTTAGCGTGCCCCAGAGCTCGTGGCGCCCACTCTAATGCAAGATGGACCTCGCCTGGAACCAAGCGTTGCCTGGCCTGGTTCTGGTCCTTGTCCGATTTTTGCCTTTTCGTACTCATTTTGTGTATTTTTTACATCCTTGTTTGCAACCTTCACTCGTTCTTATCTTTCAACGATCCTACACATAAAAATAACATAATTAAGCCTAAGTGTCACACATATTATCATTAAAACACCAAATGTAAGGCAAGTAATACACTGCAAATATACATTTATAGCCAATTATCACTACCCTACACTTAAACGTTGTTCGTCCTCGAGTCAACCAACAATTCATACTATTCTTGAGCACTTTATATTTACATGTTTGAAGTACACTACACCAATGACCATGGTTGATAGCAACAATTAAACTTTAGCATATGCAATCACATACACTTCCCTTTACTTATGCCATTCTTTAAAAATATTCACGACAAAGACATGCTCATAACAATCTGAACCTCAGAAACCAACTCAATGTCACAATGCCCTCATGGCTTGAACGCTTAACATC